AAAATAGAAAGTGATAAATGAGTCAATGAGTAACTAAGCAGGTGAATTTCCCCTTTGAAATTGAAGCAAATCCTCCGTTATTCATGTGAAGCAAGGAAGTATCAGATAGTGACATTGGTTCATGGAATGGGTGATGTTCAATATGACTGTCATTTGTCATTTGACTTTTTGCAGACTTGGCTGAGGAGTTGTGGTCGAAAGCGTATCCGTTGATTATACAGATACGTCATATGTTCTACGGTATGCTGCCGCTGCCACTCTGTAAGACAGCCTCACCGCTTCGGACAGTTTCAAGCAGCGGAAAACACACTGGCAGAAATAAGCACCCGTCTACTTCACGCTCTAACGCCAAGGGGCAAACTGTTCCCCTCGTGAAAATACAGAGCACTTCTAATATACAAACTAATGAAGTATCGGTAACAGAAATAGAGGAGAGACTGATGAATCGTCTTTGTGCGGCCGCATCGTCTGAGGATCACCATCAGAGTGACGACGAGGATTTGATTCACACATCAAGTGCCCTGATTACCGACTCACTGTTACCTCCAACGGATAGCTTGCCAAGCTTGATGAGACCGACAAATGATATAGACGTACATTCACCGGATCCGTTAAGCCCTAACTCTCCTTTAAACCTCCTAACGACTTCGAAGACTGCATTGTCAATGTGCACGCAGAATTTAACAGAAGAATCCAGTGAACTTCAAGGTTTACCAGTCAACGAAATTCTTCGTGACCTCCAAACGGTACCTTCGCGCTCAGTTGTTGAAAACGATGACCAGACACATGTCCCGTCCCATGCCGCAGCAGAAGCGGATTCTGGTTCTGAAAATAAGAAAATAGATTTGGTTGATCCTCCCCCTCTGATCGATGGATATGTGAATACCGGTAGTGAGATAGCAACCACCAAATCTTCTAAAAGTGATGATATGATAAAAGCGAAACACGGCGAACTTGCCGACGTGAAGGAACCGACAATATGCTGCGGCACATCGACCGGGGCGAATAAATCAATGGAGACTCAAGGCGTAGTCCCCGTGATCGTCACAGAAAATCAGACGGGAATGCCCCATGCAT